CTAACGAGCGCACCCTGCCTCCTGCACCCCCTCACGCCCCTCTGCCACCAGCAGCTCCCGGCCCTCCTGGGCCGCCAACGTCTGTGGCGTCAAAACCCACCTGCTATCCCCACCACCCTGGATCGGGGCTCGGTCTCTCCTCCTGCCCAGGTCACCAACTCCCTCCATGACCTAATCTCCATGAATGGCAATCCAGGAGCCCAAGGGCCCCCCTCCCCTCCTCCCTGAAGCAGGCCACCCGCATTCAGCCAATCTCCACTTCCTCCTAAACCCTGAACCACTTCCCACAGCTCCACCCTCCCCACTGTCACTGTCCCACGCGGCTGCCTCTGGTTCTGGTCTCGGCTCTGCCAGTCAGGGGACAGCTTCACTCCCCAGCTCAAAGTCTGCAAGGTCTTCCTGTCGCCCTTGGGGAACAACTGGAACCTTCCCTGTTCCTCTCCCGCCCCTCCCGACACCAACACCCCCGCTTGGGGCCAGCGCTGTCCTCCAGCCCACCCCGTCTGAAAGCCCAGCCCCCTCGGTCAGGTCCCTGCTAGCAACGCTCTTCTCTCCTGTTCACCTTTTCCTCGGCCGGGCCTTCATGCAGCCACTCGGCTGCCACACAGGCCAGCCCCGGGCCCTGTCTACAGAACACCCCCACAACCAAGTACGGACCTATAGGAACAGACGGTCATTCAAGGTCCAGTTTGAGGTCACCCCCACCCTCCTCCACCAGCATCTCCCTTCCCTCGCCCACCCTGCCCCAGGAACTGGGAGCGCCCCCCAGACTGCCCTGCAGGAGCCCAGGCCAGCAAACTTTAGGGCCTGTTGTGCACACAGAAGGCATCCAATAAATGCTTGAGACATTTAATGCTTCTTTGTTATACAAATATTTGAATGATCGAGCCTTTTACACGTGAAGGAGTTAAGTTCCACAGGACAGAGCACACTCTCTCAGAACCCAACAGGAGAGCGCCCTCTGATCAGCTCCTGCATTTCCCTGGCCTGACCCATCCCAACTGAGCCACTGAAAATCAGGCCGGTCTCTGAATCCACATTTGGTCTGGAAATAAAATGCCACACAGCTCTAGTGAGTGGTTTTGGAACAGAAAACTAATCCAAGAAAGAGCACAATCCTAAAGAGAAAACAAAACGGGGCCCAGAGCCACGCCATGGCGGCCCGACCCGAGGCACTACCAGCTCGCCCAGCAGACGGCCCGGCAGACGGCTACCATCGGCGGAGGCAGGCCTATGTGCTCCTTCCCCACCCCATCAAACTGCCCAGCGCCCCCGACAGGAGGAGGAAAATGCTTTTCTCCTCCCAGAGCCGGCCTGAATTCTGAAAGCAGCGTGGCCAGAGGCCCCCTTTAGATCCCCACGCCGACAGCCCAACACATTGTCCCACCAACTGGCTGGCCTCACCCCCTGCAAACAAGTTCACTGGAAAAACTAGAGAACCCCGGGTATCAACACCCTCAAACGGGCTGCCCCCTGCCTCCAATGTTCACAGTGGCGCCGAGGGACCCGTCCCCTTTCCAAGACCCTGCCCTTTGCCCTGCTCTCCACACACATCATGCCCAGTGCCCCGTGACATTCCCAGTCACCCTGCGGAGGGCTTTCCGTGAAGGATCAGGAGCTCATCCAGAAGACAGGAATTAAGCGCTGTTTGTCTCCCCTGGGCATAAGCCTTAGAGCCAGCAAGCCTTATTCTTTTAGTTTAGTACAAAGGTTCACTGAAAGAAGGGTCCTTTCAAAACTGGAGCAAGGTATACGCGGGAACAGGTGGAGAGCTGCTCCATGGCACATTTGAGAAGCGTACCGAGGGGGGCTGGCCACGAGCAGCATGGCCAAGCTCAAGTGCAGAGGCTGTGTGAGAAGGAAGACAGCAGGCGACAGACATGCCAGCCGGGGCAGTGGGCACACACCAGCGCCGGCGAACTCCAGACCCCCAGAGGATGGATGCCAGGACGGGCAAGAACACCCAGGAGGGTCCCCAGGGAACAGAGCTAATGCCGTCGGGGACCCAGAAGTGTCCAGCTCTGCCCTGAACTAGCATGCCTGGGCTCAGAGGCGGCTCACTCGCTTAGGAGCCGCGGGCCTGGGACAGACGCAAGCTCGGCAGCACCGTCTGGGCAGACGGGCGCACACTCGGGCAGGGCTGCCACAGGGCCTGGTGCGCGGGCTCCCCGGCCGGCTGTGCGAGCCCCGGCAACAGCATCTGCAGCCCTTAGTTCATGTGACTGCAGGCGGTCCACAGTGTTCTAACCACTGACGACCACGGGCACCTACCTCTGTGACCCTCAGCACTCAGGCTGGAATTGCCATGTTAACCCCCAGAAAAGAGGAAACAGCATTTCAGAATGGGGGAACACAAAGACTAGGGATACTCAAAATGAAAGTCCCCCAAGCCCAGGGCCCCACAGACGGAAAGAACCCAGGCTGCCCCATTCCCTCTGGGCCTCCCAACCCCTCCGCCTCTGGCCTGTGGAGGGAATATCAGGGTGAAATTAGAAGAAGCTGTTCCTCTCCTCCTGAAGAACCCCCACACTGTGCAAATCCGAGCGCACGGGAACCGCGTTCCTGACCCCCAGGCCAGAGGAGCCGGGCGAGGGCCGAGCCCAGGGGCCAGCAGTGGGAGCCAGCTCTGCCACCCACCCACAGCCCAGGCTTCCGGGTCTGCAAACCCCCGGCCGCAGGGAGGGCCGACGGTGCGGCGCGTGTCAGGACCCCGGCAGGAGAGAAGCAGTCTGGAGCGTACAGTGTCACAACAAGGCCCACAGTGCCTCGTCCGGGGTGTGGCACAAAACCCTGCCCCAGGACGTCTGTCCGCAGCCTCGCTCGGCATTGTCTGAGCTCCCAGGGCCCGGCACAGGGCCATCCCAACACCCGGCTGTCTGCAGGACCCCCCTGGCGGACCCGTGCTGCACCCCGAAGGGCCTGCAGGGCCAGACTCCAAACTGCACACGTCTGAGCACCAGGAAGCTGAGGAGCGGTTAGAGACAGAGCTGCTGGAGAGGCCGGGGCGGGGCAGGTGTCCCCTACCGGCCCCGGTCACTGCGCCACCGTCGTCCTCCGTGCTGCACGCAGGCAGGGCTAGCCCAGGGCAGTCTGGGGAACAGAGAAACAGACGTAGGCTCCCAGGGCACTTTGACTCGTTCCCACCCATGTCCTCCGACCATGTCTTCACAGCCCTCGGGGAATGGAATACTTGCCCCTGCTCTCAGTTTAAAAAAAAAAATGTTTAATCAAAATCATCAGGGATTTATTTATTTTAATCATTTCTGTCCTCACTTAAGATTAACCCACAAGAGTCTAGACTTGCTACATTAGACAAATGTGTAAAAGAGAAAAAATATGATTCACATCACGTTCATCTTTCAAAATGTTTCCAGACCAGCTAAAAAGGCATTTAGTAACATCAAACAGGACCACCAAGAAACAAACAAGCAAGAGGAACTGTGTGCATAGCAAACCACCCCCACCCCCACCCCCGGTGCTTCCAAGGCGCTGGCACAGTAAGACCAACTCCACTTACAGACGGAGCCCAGAGAGACCCGCTCGCACAGGACACAAAGACCCACCCGAGAGAGTCCCGGGCTCCTCGCAACACGGGAAGAGAGGAATAAGCAGGCACTCCGTCCAAACAGCCACTTCAAAAATACAAGCAAGGAAACAAACAGGTTTCTGAAAACACAAGAGCAAGCTGGTCAGGGCAGCAGATCCGAGCTTCCGGAAAAAGAGGCAGGGCCTCCACCTAGTTCCTGGACCCAAGGAGACATGAGGAAGAGCCCTCCCAGTGCTGTTCCAGTCCTTCGGGACTAAATGCACTTTGCAGAGGTGGGCGGTGAGGGGCCAGCCCACCCGGGAAGACGGAAGCAGGTGCCCTGTCCACATTCAAGGGCAAGACTCTGCAGGGTCAGGTGCGGAGGGCTACCCACAACCCTTCCCATCCAACATCCCTCCCGCACATTCCTCCAACCTTCCTCCTCCCACTTCAGGGTTTTTCTGTGGCTGCTCTAACGGTCCTCCACACACAGCCTGAAACGCACTTATTATCTTAAAGTCTGGAGGTCAGAGTCCAAGGCAGTTCTCACGGGACTAAAGTGTAGGTGTTGGCCACTGCACTCATTTCTGGACGCTCTGGGGAGAGTCCACGTCCTGCTCATGCAGGCTGTTGGCAGAATCCAGTTTCCTGCGGTTGTAGGACCGAGGTTCCCGCCGGCTGCAAGCAGAAGGCCACTCCAAATGCTGGAGGCCACCGCACCCCCCGGCTCATGGCCCCCGCCTCCACTTTCAGAGCCAGCGACAAGACAAGCGTCCATCTGCTGTTGATTCTGACCACTTTTAAGCGCTCACTCCATTCTACTGGACCCACCAGGCCACCCAGGAAAAGGTACCACCTCAGGGTCAGCAGATCTGCACCTTCCACTCTTTGGCCATGTGGTCTGGTTCCAGGTTCCAGGGATAAGGATGCAGACATCTTTGGGGTTCATCATTCTGCAACCACGCCCCATCCCTCCGGCCAGAACCCTGGTGATCGCCACCCTTCAGTGCTTCATGGCGGCCCTTTTCTATGGCCTTCCGAGCCCTGCCCGCCTCCCACCCCTCTTCTCACAAGGCTCCCCTCCTGCCGTCCTCCTCCCCAGCCCCAGGGTCCCCACAGCACCCTTCCCCTGCCAGGAGTGCTCTGACGCCCACCCCGCATCTCCGCATCTGTGCATCTCTGTGGGCTGGCTCCCTCTCCACCTACAGGTCTCAGGTCAGGCATGACCTCTTCTGGAAGGGCATGGCCTTCCATTGACACAGGGTCCTGTGCTTCTGCCAATGCCCCCAGATGATGACCTTCGAAGAACATACCAATGTGCTTACCGTCTCCCTCACCCCAGCAGCCTCTGAGAGCCACATCTCTTGGCTCAGCATTCAGCACGGGACCTGGCACACAGAATGCGTTCTGAACGAATGAACTGTCCCCCCAACAAGTCCTCCCCTCAGCTGATGAGTGATGGCGGCCTGTTACAATGACGGTGGAGCTCATGTCTCACCGGCTCGGAGACTCCTCGGGCTGTGACCGCTGGAAGCTGAAAGCTGTCGGAGCCACAACACCATGAGCTGTCTTCTCCTCCAGCTCCACCCCAAGCACCCACAGCCTTGCCGATTCAATCTGGGCCCTTCCTGCCTCCATCCCGCTCACAAACGTCGCCCTCCACAGGCCCCACCGCCCGCACGGCCTCCTGTGCGCAGCGCTCGCGGCCCCGGCGGACCCAAGCCGGAGGGCCGCCTGCGCTCGCACCGCGGTGGGCGGTGACTTCGTCCTGCCACTGACAGCTAAGTGTGGCAAGAGTGCCACCCACAACTGCAGAGAGCAGCCGCCCCTCGGAGCCAAGTGGGTCACTGGCCCAAGAGAGAACCAGCCCCAGAGAGTCACAGACTGAACGCGTCCTGATCCCCATCACCCGCCCTCTGATTCTCGCAGCACCACCATCCTCTCTCACCGGGACGTTCACCACAGCCTCCGAACTGGTCTCCCTGCGTCCGTCCTTCCCTCCCAGCCCCTAACCTGCCATCCACCCAGAGGCCAAAGGGATCCTGCCACACCTCTGCCAAGACCCTCCAAAGCGCTCCCCCATCAGAATAAGAGACAGAAAGCCCACGTCTTTCCACTGTGACCACGAGGCCTGCCCCCACCAGCTTCCGGACCTCGTGCCCCAGGACTCTCCCCCTCCTCCCTTGGCTCCAGGCACCAGGCCCCCCGCTCTTCTCGAGCACACCGCTGTCGCTCCCAACCGGGGACTTTCCACTGGCCCTCTGCCCAGACCACTGTCCTCCCAGCCACCCAGGGGGCCTGTTCGCTCACCTCCTGTGAGTCCTCAAATGTTACCTCCTCTGTGAGACCTTCTCTGGCCACCTTATCACCGGGAAACCCTCCCCACTCCACACGCCTCCCAATCCCAATTCTCTGCTTGAGGTTTCAATAACAGGATAACAGTTCCCACCTTCTCAGGGGTAACTCTCTTCTTAACTTAGTCATGGTCTCTATTCTCTGCCCCTCCAGCTCCGCTGTAAGCTCTGAGACAGCACTGGTTCTGAGCTGTTTTGTTCACTGGTGTATCTCTAGCCCCTGGAACTGTTATTGGCACCAAGAGTTGGTTAAACAAATATCTACTGAATGAATGAATTTTCAAACTCTCAAAGCTCCTCCAAGAGGCCCTCTCTCGTGCTCATCAAAGAGAATCGGACCAGACCGAACAAATATGTGCCTGGAGATCTCAGCCACTTAGGTCTCATCCAGCTTCAGCAGGTTACACTGGCAGAAACTGATGGCCCCAGGGGTGACATGACCTGGTGAAAGTCACACAGAGATTAATAGAAAAAAAAAGGCTGAAACCCAGACCACAGAACCAAGTCAGAGGTGCTTCCACCACATCACACATCCTGCTTCACCCAGAAGCTTCTAAGAAAGCCCCAGCCAAATAGACAACCTGAGGACCAGCGTGAATAGAGGAGGGGGTGCTACTGGCAAGACCACCTCTCATGCAGTGTGAGACCCTGGCCAAATCACCTACTAGAGATACACCAGTGACACAGTTTTTTTGGTAAGACTCCATAATTTAAAAGATGATGGCAGGGCGCCTGGGTGGCTCAGTCGGTTAAGCGACTGCCTTCGGCTCAGGTCATGATCCTGGAGTCCCGGGATCGAGTCCCGCATTGGGCTCCCTGCTCGGCGGGGAGTCTGCTTCTGCCTCTGACCCTCCCCCTCTCACGCTCTCTCTCTTTCTCTCTCAAATAAATAAATAAAATCTTTAAAAAAAGAAAAAGAAATCTTGACATCTGGGGCGCCTGGGTGGCTCAATTGGTTGGGCGACTGCCTTCAGCTCACGTCATGATCCTGGAGTCCCAGGATCGAGTCCCGAATCGGGCTCCCTGCTCGGCGGGGAGCCTGCTTCTCCCTCTGACCCTCCCCCCTCTCTCTCATTCTCTCTCTCTCAAATAAATAAATAAAATCTTTAAAAAAAGAAAAGAAATCCTCAGTGTGGGGGCGCCTGGGTGGCTCAGTCGGTTGGGCGACTGCCTTCGGCTCGGGTCACGATCCTGGAGTCCCGGGATCGAGTCCCGCATCGGGCTCCCTGCTCGGCGGGGGGTCTGCTTCTCCCTCTGGCCCCCCCCCTCTCATGTGCTCTCTCTCATTCTCTCTCTCAAATAAATAAATAAAATCTTTAAAAAAGAAAAAGAAACCTTGACATCCGTTTCTCTCTAATCTAAGTTCGCCAGGCACTGTCCACGCACTGTCTTCACCTTCCCCGGGGCGCGGGCCGGGGATCAGCCGCACGCTGATCAGGACTTTGGAGCCGAACAGCTTCCAGGGTGCACCCGGGTCATTGCACGCACTTCATTTTTTGTTTAATTTCTTTTTCTTAATTCGCTTCCTGCTGCGGACTCAAGAAAGGAGTTGGTTTTGCGGCCGGAAGGTGGGGTACGTGGAAATTCACAGGGAGGCTCAAATCCACCGGAGCGAGTCCTCGAGCTCGAGGCCAAACGCAGCCGAGCGCGGGAGGGACAAGAAGGCCATTCAAGAGGGTCCCACCGCCGCGCCCCCCCGGAGAGGCGATCGCCCGGCAAGCGCAGCCGAGCGCGGGAGGGACAAGAAGGCCATTCAAGGGGGTCCCACCGCCGCGCCAGCCGGAGAGGCGATCGCCCGGCAAGTGCAGCCGAGCGCGGGAGGGACAAGAAGGCCATTCAAGGGGGTCCCACCGCCGCGCCCCCCCGGAGAGGCGGTCGCCCGGCAAGCGCAGCCGAGCGCGGGAGGGACAAGAAGGCCATTCAAGAGGGTCCCACCGCCGCGCCCCCCCGGAGAGGCGATCGCCCGGCAAGCGCAGCCGAGCGCGGGAGGGACAAGAAGGCCATTCAAGGGGGTCCCACCGCCGCGCCCCCCCGGAGAGGCGATCGCCCGGCAAGCGCAGCCCGCGCGGCCAGCGGGCCAGGTCCGCACTCCCCGAACCCTTCGCAGCGCGACCCGAGTCGGTCCCCTTGGGCTTCCCAGGGCGCCCGGGATGTCACCGAGGAGAGCCTGCCGAGGAGTGTCACCGAGGAGAGCCTGCGGCCTCGGAAAGCCTCGCGACCAGCTGCTCCTCCTCCCTTCAAGCCTCGGTCTGCGCGCAGCCCCCGTCACCGCCCAGACCCTGCGCTCGAGCCCCCCGGCCCCCCAACGTCCCTCTCGTCCCCAGCAGCCCTCTCCCAGCCCAGCTCACCCCTCCCCAGACCCCCGACTCCTCCCGCAGCCCCGCGGGCCCACGCGCCCGCCCGACCTCCGAGCCCTGACACCGACCGGCCTCCCCGTCACACCCACCTGCCCGGGACTTCGCCCTTGCTGCGCCTCCAGAACCGCTTCCTGGCCCCGTCGCCGGCCACGGCCCCTCCTCCTCCCTCAGGCCCGCGGCCCGACACCTCGAGCGCGGCCGGCCAGGCCCGGCGGCCCTTTGCTGCACCCCGAGCGGCCCCTCAGCGGCCCCCGGACGCCCGAGCCCAGCGCCCAGAGGCTCTTCCGCCTGCTCCCGGAAGTCCCGCCTCCACACGCCCGGAAGTCCCGCCTCCGCCCAGGCGCGCCGGACGCAAGGCGCGGGCGTGACGGCATTAAGGGGTGACGCCGGGGAGGGGTGTGGCGGCTGCGGTGCGGGCGGCTGCGGTCCGTGTGGTGGCGGCTGGCTGGGGCCCCCGTCCGGCTCTGTGCTCTGCCGCCGGGCGAGGCGGCGGGAGGGTCCGGGGCGCGCGGAGGCAGCGAGGGGCAGCGGGGTCGGCGGGGGGTGGGGGGGGGCGGGGGCGCCTGGGGGTCGCGGAACCCGGCGCAGGAAGCCCGCGGCAGGGTTTTCCAAGAGTCGGCGCGAAGCGGAGCGGAGGGAGAGTCCGTCTACACTGGTGGGGCGCCCGGCGGCTCAGTCGGCCCGCCGTCTGCCTTGGACTCGGGTCATGACCCCAGAGCCCAGAGGCTCTTCCGCCTGCTCCCGGAAGTCCCGCCTCCGCGCGCCCGGAAGTCCCGCCTCCGCCCAGGCGCGCTGGACGCAAGGCGCGGGCGTGACGGCATTCAAGGGCGACGCCGGGGAGGGGTGTGGTGGCTGCGGTGCGGGCGGCTGGCTGGGGCCCCGTCCGGCTCTGTGCTCTGCCGCCGGGCGAGGCGGCGGGAGGGCCCGGGGCGCGCGGAGGCAGCGAGGGGCAGCGGGGTCGGCGGAGCGGGGGGGGGGGGGGGGGGGGGGGGGGGGGGGGCGCCTGGGGGTCGCGGAACCCGGCGGAGGAAGCCCCCGGCAGGGTTTTCGAAGAGTCGGCACGAAGCGGAGCGGAGGGAGAGTCCGTCTACACTGGTGGGGCGCCGGGCGGCTCCGTCGGCCCGCCGTCTGCCTTGGACTCGGGTCGTGACCCCAGGGCCCTGGGCTCGAGCCCCGCGTCGGGCCCCCCGCTCCGCGGGGAGACTCTGCTTCCCCCTCCGCCTGCCCCTTCCCGGCTGGTGCCCTCGCTCGCTCGAGAGCTCGCTCGAGTGAATGAAATCTTTGAAAAGAGCGAGTCTGCGTTGGTTACGTGGTGAAATGACAGCTGCTGAAGTTATGTTTTGGTGTTTTGGTGTTTGCTTTTCTTAACTCGACGTAGCCAACGAAGATGTGGGGTGACGTGCGTGACTGGCGCTGGATTTCTCTTGGTCGCGGACCCGGACCGAGAAGCCAGGTCCTGCCCTTTCCCGACTGCAGGACAGTCCGCGGACGCACCTCCGCCAGTTCTCTCGTGAGACAAGAATTGGGCTGCATGTGTAAGTGTGCCCGTGCCCCTCGCTTACTGATGGGTAGCACTGATGGAGTTCTTGCCACACGCAAGATCTGCACCGGGTTCTTTACATGCAGTACGGCAGCCGTATGCCCACCACCCCCAAAGGCTGCCCCTCCCGGGAGAGCAGAATGGCTCGCTCACCTCGCGGACACCGAATTTTATGCCCTTTCCACAGGTCCTTGCGCCCACCCTGCAACATTTACCTGACTGTTTTTATGATCTCTGTGTCCACAGGTAGCTTGTGAGATCCTGCTCAGTGGGGCCGAGGTCTTCTGCCTCTGCAAGTGTGTGTTGGATGAATGACAACCACGGGAACTCTCCAGGGACCCCCTTTTGTCACCATAGAAACTCCAGGAATCTTCTCTTTGGTGTGATCTTAATGGATCCTTGGTGATCCCCAGCTGACATACCCTCACTAGATCCTCAGGGCTCCTTCGTTGCATAGCCTGATGAGCTCTTCCGGGATCCTGTCCTTACATGACCTCAGGGAATCTCCAGAGATCTTCCAATAAAGTTTCAGTGGATCCGCAGGGACTCCCTCCTGACACAGCCTCAGGCAGTCTCCCGGGATTCTCTCCTAGTGGAGCTCAGGAAGGCCCCAGGGACCTCTTCCCAATATACAGCCCCGAGGCCTCAGAAATCCTCTCAGAGACTGGCTCCTAACAGCCTCCGGGGTCCCCTGTGGACATCACTGGGGACCTCAGGGGTTCTGTGCAGCTCTTCTGGCTCATTGCAAGAATCAGCGAGGTGACGGAGCAAGATGGCGGAGGAGTAGGAGACCTGGATTTCGTCTCCTCTCAGGAATTCAGCTGAAGAGGGATCAAACCATTCTGAACACCTACAAACTCAACAGGAGATCAAAGAAAAGAAGAGCAACAACTCTCTCATCAGAAAAGCGACCACTTTCTGGAAGGTAGGACGTGCGGAGAAGTGAATCCGCGGCGATATTCGGGAGGATAGACGGCGGGGGAGGGGCCTCCGTCAGCCGCTTCTGGCGAGTGATAGAGGCCCGGGGCACAAAATCGGAACTTTTAAAAGTCTGCTTCGCTGAGGGACGTCACTCCGGTGGCTGAGCGGGGGGTGGAACCCAACGAGACAGTGTGGTCTCAGGACCCTCGGAGTCACAGAAAGACCGGGGGTGCCTGAGTGTGGCAGAGCTCCCAGGTAACAGAGCAGGTAAGCCGGCTGCAGAGGCGGAGCCCAGGCGAGGGCCCTCAGCTCGGGGTGGCCATAAACCATGATCCGCGGCCCAGTCGGGCCCCTGCTCCTCCAGCAGGGACCCAACAAGCGGCAGATCCGGGGAGACTCACCTTCCTCCCCGGGGAGGAGCCGTGCGGGAGCGCACCGCAGGGATCTGCTGGGTTTGGAGACTCCACCCGGGGTCGGTGCCAGAGATAGAGGCGCGCGGTCACAGGCCGGGCGAGCACGGAGTGCGGCCGGAGACCGGGGAGACGGGAGTGACTGACGCCTTTTCTCTGGGGGCTCACTGAGGAGCGGGGCCCCGAGTTCTCGGCTCCTCCGGGGCGGAGATTGGGAGGCCGCCATTCTCACTCTCCGCCTCCAAATCTGTGCGGAAAGCTCGCAGGGAACAAAAGCCCCGGAGGGCAAACCCAAGCAACTTACTTAGCCGGGAGGGGGCAAGGGCGGGGCAATTCCGCCTCCGGCAGAGACATTTGGGAACCACGGCAACAGGCCCCTCCCCAGAAGATCAGCGAGAACAGCCAGCCAAGACCAAGTTCACCGATCAATGAGAACGGCAGAACGCCAGCGCTAGGGGACTACTGCACATAGAATTCACGGCTTTTTTACCATGATTCTTTAGTCTTTTAAAGTCAAATTTTTTAACTGTCTTTTTGTCTTTTTATTTCTTTTTGAATTTTTCTTTTTCCCTTTTTCAACCAACATCTTATCAATCCCTTTTAAAAAAAAATTATTTTTCATTTTTAGAGTCATATTCTATCCCTTCATAGTAGTTACCCATATTTTTGGCTTATATATATAAGTTGTTCTCTCTTTAAAATTTTGAGATAGTTTCTTCTAACAGATTAAAATATACCCTAAATCTCTAGTATATGGTGCTTTCTATTCCCCTGCCTGATCACATCCTCTCCCTTTTTTTTTCTCTTTTTCTTTTTTCTTTTTTTAAATCCTCTTCTTTCTTTTTTCAAACAACTTCTTATCAATTCCTTTTATAACATTTTTTATAATTTCCATTTTTACAGTCATATTCCATCCCTTCATCATATCAACCCTTATTTTTGTACATATATAAGTTTTTCTTTCTTTAAAATTTTGGGAGGCACTTTCTTCTAAAAGACCAAAATACACACCAAATCTGGTGTGTGGCACTGATCTATATACCATATAGATCATATTTGATCATATTCTGGTTTTCCTTTTGTTGTTGTTGTTTCGTTTTGTTTTTGTTTTTATCTTTATCTTTTTTTTTTTCTTTGTCTTTTTTCTCTCTTTCCCTTTCTTATCCCACTGCTTTAGGTCTTTTCTGATTTGTTTAGAGTATATTTTCTGGGGATGTGGTTATTCTGCTAGCATTTTGTTCTCTCATTAATCTATTCTCTGCAGAAAATGACAAGACGGAAAAAATCACTGCAACAAAAAGAACAAGAGGTAGTACCGACTGCCAGGGACCTACTCAATACAGACATTAGTACGATGTCAGATCTAGAGTTCAGAATCATCACTTTAAAGATACTAGCTGGGCTTGAAAAAAATATGGAAGTTATTAGAGAAACGCTTTCTGGAGAAGTAAAAGAGCTAAAATCCAACCAAGTAGAAATCAAAAAGGCTATTAATGAGGTGCAATCAAAAATGGGGGCGCTAACTGCTAGAATAAATGAGGCAGAAGAGAGAATCAGTAATATAGAAGATGAAATGATGGAAAATAAAGAAGCTGAGAAAAAGAGAGATAAACAACTACTGGATCACGAGGGCAGAATTCGAGAGATAAGCGATACCATAAGACGAAACAACATTAGAATAATTGGGATCCCAGAAGAAGAAGAAAGAGAGAGAGGGCCAGAAGGTATAATGGAGCAAATTATAGCAGAGAACTTCCCTAATTTGGGGAAAGAAACAGGCATGAAAATCCAGGAAGCACAGAGAACCCCTCTCAAAATCAATAAAAATAGGTCAACTCCCCGACATCTAATAGTAAAACTTACGAGTCTCATAGACAAAGAGAAAATCCTGAAAGCAGCTCAGGAGAAGAGATATGTAACCTAAAATGGTAGAAACATTAGATTGGCAACAGACCTATCCACAGAGACCTGGCAGGCCAGAAAGGACTGGCAGGATATATTCAGAGCACTAAATGAGAAAAATAGGCAGCCAAGAATACTCTATCCAGCTAGGCTGTCATTGAAAATTGAAGGAGAGATAAAAAGCTTCCAGGACAAACAAAAACTAAAGGAATTTGCAAACACAAAACCAGCCCTACAGGAAATCTTGAAAGGGGTCCTGTAAGCAAAGAGAGACCCTAAAAGCAACATAGACCAGAAAGGAACACAGACAATATATGGTAACAGTCACCTTACAGGCAATACAATGACACTAAATTCCTATCTTTCAATAGTTACCCTGAATGTAAATGGGCTAAACGCCCCAATCAAAAGACACAGGCTAACAGACTGGATTAAAAAACAAGACCTATCAATATGCTGTCTGCAAGAGACTCATTTTAGAACCAAAGACACCCCCAGATTGAAAGTGAGGGGGTGGAAAACCATTTACCATGCTAATGGACACCAAAAGAAAGCTGGGGTGGCAATCCTTATATCAGACAAATTAGATTTTAAATCAAAGACTGTAATAAGAGATGAGGAAGGACACTATATCATACTTAAAGGATCTATCCCACAAGAAGATCTAACAATTTTAAATATCTATGCCCCTAACATGGGAGCAGCCAATTACATAAGGCAATTAATAACAAAAGCAAAGAAACACATCGACAACAATACAATAATAGTGGGGGACTTTAACACCCCCCTCACTGAAATGGACAGATCGTGTAAGCAAAAGATCAACAAGGAAATAAAGACTTTAAATGACACACTGGACCAAATGGACTTCACAGACATATTCAGAACATTCCAACCCAAAGCAACGGAATACACATTCTTCTCTAGTGCCCATGGAACATTCTCCAGAATAGATCACATCCTAGGTCATAAATCAGGTCTCAACCGGTACCAAAAGATTGGGATCATTCCCTGCCTATTTTCAGACCACAATGCTTTGAAACTAGAACTCAATCACAAGAGGAAAATCAGAAAGAACTCAAATACATGGAGGCTAAGGAGCATCCTACTGAAGAATGAATGGGTCAACCAGGAAATTAAAGAAGAATTAAAAAAATACATGGAAACCAATGAAAATGAAAACACAACTGTTCAAAATCTTTGGGATGCAGCAAAGGCAGTCCTAAGAGGAAAATATATAGCAATACAAGCCTTTCTCAAGAAACAAGAAAGGTCTCAAGTACACAACCTAACCCTACACCTAAAGGAGCTGGAGAAAGAACAGCAAATAAAGCCTAAACCCAGCAGGAGAAGAGAAATCATAAAGATCAGAGCAGAAATCAATGAAATAGAAACCAAAAGAACAGTAGAACAGATCAACGAAACTAGGAGCTGGTTCTTTGAAAGAATTAACAAGATTGATAAACCCCTGGCCAGACTTATAAAAAAGAGAAGAGAAATGACCCAAATCTACAAAATCATGAATGAAAGAGGAGAGATCACAACCAACACCAAAGAAATACAAACAATTATAAGAACATATTATGAGCAACTCTATGGCAGCAAATTAGATAACCTGGAAGAGATGGATGCATTCCTAGAGATGTATCAACTACCAAAACTGAACCAGGATGCAATAGAAAACCTGAACAGACATATAACCACTAAGGAAATTGAAGCAGTCATCAAAAATCTCCCAAAAAACAAAAGCCCAGGGCCAGATGGCTTCCCAGGGGAATTCTACCAAACATTTCAAGAAGAATTAATACCTATTCTTCTGAAACTGTTCCAAAAAATAGAAACGGAAGGAAAACTTCCAAACTCATTTTATGAGGCCAGCATTACCTTGATCCCAAAACCAGACAAAGACCCCATCAAAAAGGAGAATTACAGACCAATATCCCTGATGAACATGGATGCAAAAATTCTCACCAAAATACTAGCCAATAGGATCCAACAGTACATTAAAAGGATTATTCACCACGACCAAGTGGGATTTATCCCTGGGCTGCAAGGTGGGTTCAACATCCGCAAATCAATCAATATGATACAATACATTAACAAAAGAAAGAACAAGAATCATACGATCCTCTCAATAGATGCAGAAAAAGCATTTGACAAAGTACAGCATCCTTTCTTGATCAAAACTTCAGAGTATAGGCATAGAGGGTACATACCTCAATATCATAAAAACCATCTATGAAAAACCTACAGCGAAGATCATTCTCAATGGGGAAAAACTGAGAGCTTTCCCCCTAAGGTCAGGAACGTGGCAGGGATGTCCACTATCACCACTGCTATTCAACATAGTATTGGAAGTCCTAGCCACAGCAATCAGACAACAAAAAGAAATCAAAGGCATCCAAATTGGCAAAGAAGAAGTCAAACTCTCACTCTTTGCAGATGATATGATACTTTATGTGGAAAACCCAAAAGACTCCACCCCAAAACTGCTAGAACTCATACAGGAATTCAGTAAAGTGGCAGGATATAAAATCAATGCACAAAAGTCAGTGGCTTTCCTATACACCAACAACAAGACAGAAGAAAGAGAAATTAAGGAATCCATCCCATTTACAATTGCACCCAAAACCATAAGATACCTAGGAATAAATCTAACCAAAGACACAAAGGATCTATACTCAGAAAACTATAAAATACTCATGAAAGAAATTAAGGAAGACACAAAGAAATGGAAAAACGTTCCATGTTCATGGATTGGAAGAACAAATATTGTGAAGATGTCAAAGCTACCTAGAGCAATCGACACATTCAATGCAATCCCCATCAAAATACCATCCACTTTTTTCAAAGAAATGGAACAAATAATCCTAAAATTTGTATGGAACCTTAAAAGACCGTGCATAGCCAGAGGAATATTGAAAAAGAAAAGCAAAGCCGGCGGCATCACAATTCCGGACTTCCAGCTGTATTACAAAGCTGTCATCATCAAGACGGCATGGTACTGGCACAAAAACAGACACATAGATCAATGGAACAGAATAGAGAGCCCAGAAATGGACCCTCAACTCTATGGTCAACTAATCTTCAACAAAGCAGGAAAGACTATCCAGTGGAACAAAGACAGTCTCTTCAACAAATGGTGTTGGGAAAATTGGATAGCCACATGCAGAAGAATGAAACTGGTCCATTTCCTTACACCACACACAGAAATAGACTCCAAATGGTTGAAAGACCTCAATGTAAGACAGGAGTCCATCAAAATCCTAAAGGAGAACACAGGCAGCAACCTCTTTGACCTCAGCCGAAGCAACTTCTTCCTAGAAACATCGCCAAAGGCAAGGGAAGCAAGGGCAAAAATGAACTATTGGGACTTCATCAAGATAAAAAGCTTTTGCAAAGCAAAGGAAACAGTCAACAAAACCAAAAGACAACCGACAGAATGGGAGAAGATATTTGCAAATGACATATCAGATAAAGGGCTAGTATCCAAAATCTATAAAGAACTCATCAAACTCAACACCCAAAGAACAAAGAATCCAATCAAGAAATGGGCAGAAGACATGAACAGACATTTTTCCAAAGAAGACATCCAAATGGCCAACAGACACATGAAAAAGTGCTCAATATCGCTCGGCATCAGGGAAATCCAAATCAAAACCTCAATGAGATCCCACCTCACACCAGTCAGAATGGCTAAAATTAACAAGTCAGGAAACGACATATGTTGGCGGGAATGCGGAGAAAGGGGAACCCTCCTACACTGTTGGTGGGAATGCAAGCTGGTGCAGCCACTCTGGAAAACTGTATGGAGATTCCTCAAAAAGTTGAAAATAGAGCTACCATATGATCCAACAATTGCACTCCTGGGTATTTACCCCAAAGATACGAAAGTAGGGATCCGAAGGGGTACGTGCACCCCGATGTTTATAGCAGCAATGTCCACAATAGCCAAACTGTGGAAAGAGCCAAGATGTCCATCGACAGATGAATGGATAAAGAAGATGTGGTATATATATACAATGGAATATTATGCAGCCATCAAAAGGAATGAGATCTTGCCATTTGCAACGACGTGGATGGAACTGGAGGGTATTATGTTGAGTGAAATAAGTCAAAAAGAGAAAGACATGTATCATATGATTTCACTGGTATGAGGAATTCTTAATCGCAGGAATCAAACTGAGGGTTGTTGGAGTGGGGGGTGGGGTTGGAGGGATGGGGTGACTGGGTGATAGACACTGGGGAGGGTATGTGCTCTGGTAAGCGCTGTGAATTGTGCAAGACTGTTGAATCTCAGATCTGTACCTCTGAAACAAATAATGCATTATGTGTTAAGAAAAAAAAAAAGAAGAAGAAGAAGGTAGCGGGAGGGGAAGAATGAAGCGGGGGAAATCAGAGGGGTAGACGAACCATGAGAGACGATGGACTCTGAAAAACAAACAGGGTTCTAGAGGGGAGGTGGGTGGGAGGATGGGTGAGCCTGGTGGTGGGTATTGAGGAGGGCACATTCTGCATGGAGCACTGGGTGTTGTGCACAAACAATGAATCATGGAACACTTCATCTAAAACTAATGATGTAATGTATGGGGATTAACATAAGAATAAAAAAAAAAAAAAAAAAGAATCAGCGAGGTGACAGCAGGACCGAAGATGATGGAAGTAGAGTTCACAGAGAAAAAATGGACAGTAGTTAGTGACTGGCTGGATGCAATTATAGCATCTTAGATCAGTTGTCTCTATAGCTTGAGGATGCTTTCCTGCCTCAGGTCTCCTGGGGGAAGGAGCAAGACTGACACCAAGATTGATGAAGGCTTCCGGACCCACTGAGCAAAGAGTTAGTAGTGCCAATCAGAAACAGGAGAGCAAGGGGTCAGCCTGTTTGCAGCCTACGTTTATGATTGGTTTAGGATGACTTGGGTCAAGGTCACAGATGTAAGACCTCAGCCAAGCACGAGGTTAGAGGACAGATTAGTCTCCAGACAAGGAGATGGGAGGATCTGCCAGGGCAAAGTCACAGGAATAGGTCAGCATCATGGCAACATAATCAAAACACAAAGCCAAGAAGAAACAATCCCCAGAAATGGATTTTGGCTGGGGAGCTTGGTAAGGATAGGATGTAAAAGGAGCGTTTGGTAGAAGGCCAGGTGTATAAACTGAGTATAACATATGTACAGTCTAGGAATGGGATCTCTGCAGGCATCAAACAGGACAGATGCATGAACCAGAACGAATGAGTGGAGCACTTTGTATTTATTTGTGCAACAAATAATTTTTAAAAGATTTGTTTATTTATTTGAGAGAGGGCATGGGGGATGGTGGCAGATGAGGAGGGAGAGGAAGAAGCCAACTCCCCGCTGAGCGCGCAGAGCCCACACAGGGCTCAAACCTATGACCCCGAGATAATGACCTGAACCAAAATCAAGAGTCAGAAGTTCAACAGACTAAACCACCCAGGCACCCCTGTGCAACAAATAATTTTTTTTAATTTATTTGAGAGAGAGAGAGAGCACAAGAGAGGGAGGGGGGAAAGGGAGAGGGAGAAGCAAACTCCCCGCTGAGCTGGTAGCCTGACGCAGGGCCCGATGCCAGTACCCCAGGATCATGACCTGAGCCAAAGGAAATGCTTAATGAGCTGCCCAGGTGCCCCAACAAACAAGAAGGTCACTTTCACTAAGATTTAAGCTAATGGAAATTAAATCCAAGGACATGCCATTTCACACATGACAGATGGGCTAAAACTTAAAAATCTGTCAATGCCAAAATCGACAAGGATGTGGATTTGTGAGCGGTGCAGAATGAACTGATTCACTGCTGGTGGGAGTATAAATTGATTTAGTGATTCTCAACAGCCATCTAGCAATTTCTAGTAGTTAAGGATGCATATACTCTACAACCCAGCAATTCCGCCCTTGGTGTGTACCCTAGAGCAGCTTGCCCAAGTGTGCAAAGACAAGAACATTCACTGCAACATGCTGCTTTTGCTGGCAGCGGGGAAGGTCATCAAGTCATCTCTAGGAGAATTGGTAAATGATACATAGCTATCCAATAGGATGCTATATGGTAACAAAATGAATAAATTAGTTACATATATCAACACAAATGATTTTCACAAGGTTAAATGAAAAAAAGTTGAATATGGATGCATGCACTATTTAATTCCATTCTTTTTTTTTTTTTTTTAAGATTTTATTGATTCATTTGACAGAGAGAGAGAGAGACACAACGAGAGAGGAAACACCAGCAGGGGGAGTGGGAGAGGGAGAAGCAGGCTTCCTGCGGAGCAGGGAGCCCAATGCAGGGCTCGATCTCAGGACCCTGGGTTCATGACCTGAGCCAAAGGCAGATGCTTAACGACTGAGCCACCCAGGCGCCCCTAATTCCATTCTTTTAGAGTAAAAAAGAATGCTAAACACTAAATTCAGGAGAGTGGTTGCCTCCGGGTATTGGTGGGGACTTTGATCAGTAAGTAAGGAAGTCAAGGGGCTTCAGTTTTATGATTATGCTTTATTTCTGATGGCCGAGGGAATGTATGCTGCTGTTGTTATATTATTTGTGACTTCTCCCATGTATAAAATGTTTGATTACGGAGCTCTTACTGCTGTGTCTGTGAGCACACTCTTGGAAAAGGATGAGACAATGAATGAGCAGCGTTTACTGAGAGGCGTGGAGGGGTCGGGACAATTGATAAGACCTGTGACTGTAGTTTAAGGCGAGCGGGCAAGATGGGACAAAATGCAAGGAGTGGCTCCAGGGAGAGGGAGCATCACAGCTGCAGCAGGGAGACAAAATTGGAGCGCTGGGTAACAGGGGAGTCTTGGGCATGGCTGATCCTTGCGTGCAGGCAGCTTCTTGGGGAGGAGAGGTTGAACGGTGAGGGGCCACCTGGAGAGAGGTCCTGAATTGAGACCAGAGGGTGGAGCCTTTGCACTGTGCACAAACCAGTCATTGCACGGCTGCCCCCTGGGAGGGGGGCCCTGCAGCTGCAGGCAGCTCCTCAGAGGGACTTCTCTGAGCCATCAGCAGCTAGCACTCCCGGCCACGGAGGAAATGAGAGCCTTTGTCCCAAGGAGCGCATCTGGGCAACACACTGTAGCGCTGGCTGCAGTCCACCTTGGCACCACTCGGATCCAGGAGCGTCACAGGGGTCACCACTGGAAGAACATCTCTAGGATTCTGCCTGCTTCCTTTTGTGGAAATTTACAAGAGGAAGGTTGACACGATCTTGGAGCCCCTCCTCCTGGATGGGGGAAGGCATGTCACTGTGGTGTTGGCTTGCATTTCCTACGATCTCATGAGGAAAATCGCCCCATGTGCTCACTGCGTCGTCTGACTATCTTCTTTGGAGAAATGTCTATTATTTTCAGTGGGGTTGTTTAGGTTCTTAAGTTGGAGGGGTTTTGTACACATTCTCGATGCAAGACTCGTATGAGATTTGCAAATATTTCCTACCATTCTTTGGGTTTCTTTACATCCTCTTGAGATTACCCTTTCATTCACAAAAGTTTTTAGCAACGTTGAAGTCCAGTGTCTCTGTTTTCTCTGTTGTTCGTTGGGCTTCGGGTGCCATACAAGAGACACCATATTGCCAAATCCAAGGGAAGGATGATCTGCCCCTAGGTGCTCTTAGTTTCCTTCTGAGTGTTAAGAATTTTCGCTCTTAAAGTTCATTCTTGGATCCATGTGGAGTTCATTTTTTATAGGGTGGAAGGGAATGCTCTGACTTCACTCCTTCGTATGTGGATATCCGGTTTCTCAACACCGTTTGTTGGAGACACTGTTTTTGCCTCATTGAATGATCTTGGTCTCCGTGTTAGAAAACAACTGACTGTACATGTATGTATTCCTTGATTCTCAGCAGTATCCCATTGATCCATATGTGTTGGTCTTCTCTGCTCATACCTTTCGTGAAATATTATAATCTCGTAGAGAGTTTTTCCAATTCTTAGGATTATTTGCATAGAAGATCATGTCCTATATAAATAAACTTTTTCTTCTTCCTTTCCATTTGTGAGCTTTTAGTAACTAATCTTGTATAATTTCTCTCACCAAACTTCCATGACAATATTGAAATGAAGTTGTGGACATGGGCATCCTTGACTTTTTGGGGATTTTAAGGAGAAAACTCTCAGTCTTTCACCACAGAGAATGATATACATATGAGTTATTTTTCATAAATATCCTTTATCGTAATTTTTAAAGAATTATTTATTTATTTATTTATTTATTTATTTATTTATTTGAGAGCATGCAATCCCAAGAGTGGGGAGGGGCAGAGGGAGAGAATCTCCAAGCAGACTCCCGACTGAGTGCAGAGCCCTCCCTGGAGCTCAATCTGAAGACTCTTGAGATCATGACCTGAGCCCAAACCAAGAGTCGGACACTCAACCCACTGAGCCACCCAGGCACCTCTCCTTTATCACAATTTAACCTTCTATTTCTATTTTATTGAGAACACTTGTTATGAAAAGGTTTGGATTTTGTCAAAGCTTATCCTACAACAATTGACATGATCGTGTTTCTTCTGGATGTGGTCTAGGACACTGATTAGCTACGTTGAACAGCCTTTGCATTCCCGGTGTAAATCACACTTGGTCATGATGTAGAGTCCTGTCAATGTGCTGCTAGATTCTGTCTGCTAGAATTCTGTTGAGGATTTTTGCCTCGCTCTTCATAATGGATATTGGCCTACAACTGTCTTTTCTTGTAAGGTCTTTGTCAGTCTTTGGAATCGGGACAATGCTGGCATTCTAGGGTGACGTGGGAAGTGTTCCCTCCTCTTATGCTTTTTTCAGACTTTCAGGATTGTCTTCTTTAAACGTGTGGGAGAAATCACCAGGGAAAGCATCAGGTTCTGGACTTTTCATTCTTGGGAAGTTCTCATGACTGCTTCAGTCTGTTTACTTATTATAGGTCTGCTCAGGGTTTCCATTTCTTCTGGAGTCACTTTGGTAGTTTGTGTGCTTCTCAGAATAATCTGCTTCATCTCAGGGAGCCAATTGGTTCGTATAAAGTGGTTCCATTTTTGTCTCTTTGTCAATTTTCGTAAATCTGCAAAAGAAAGAACTGTTGTTTTCACTGATTTTTCTCACGTGCTCTTCTCTTCCATGTATCTCTGCCCTAATCTTCATAGTTTCCTTTGCTCTACTAACTTTGATCTTCTCCTTCGACTGAACCAGAGGAACATTCTAACTGTTCCAGATGCCAGCCAGCCAGAGGGCCATTGTCTAGGTCTGTGTTGTTGTGTAGAGAAGCAATACAGACTGGAGTGGATCAGGCTACCTGGGCAATTTCTACCTCACCTGGCATTCCAGGTCACCCCCAGACCGTCATTTCAGGCTGAAGCTCTCCTCCTGCCAGGCATGATGCCCAGCAACAGACTGACCTGACTTCCCATGAACCACTCACGACCTTAGGGGCCTTCTGTGCTCTAGGAACAAGCAGACTAGCTGAATTTTGCCAAGGAGCACTGCCCATGAGCAGAAAACCTGCATAGCTCAGGGCACTGTCTTCTGTGTGCTTCCTTCACACCTTCCCATGTGTGGGTCAGAGCCACCTGTGCACATGGACACCCTAGAGCACCCACTCACCCAGGGTGTCGGATCAATGCAAAGTCAGCCCTTCAATTCTGCCACCACACCCCCAACACAACACCCAAGACCAAAAGGAGTGCTCACTCCAAGTCCTGGGACCAGCTCAGATGCAGCCCCTA